ATTGCGCATGTTTCTGAAAATACATTTCTTTATTTAATCAGTTTTAAATTATTTATTTTATTCGATTAGATGGTAAGTATAAGCTTTATGTTGATTTCTAAAAAATTTTTTATTCTAATTAATTTTTTATAATTTACTTATTTTATTAGTCGGTGAGTATAAGTTTTATTGCATTCGTTCTTAATAAATATTGTTTCAATTGATTTCTAACTCATTAATTTTATCAAACATTAGCTTGTATAGGATCCATCCAAGCGGCTGTAGGTGGTTGATTTTTTTTATTGTAAAATATTTTTACATAATGAGTCTACTTTACGCTTTATAATTAAAACTTCATGGTGCTTGTATATAGTAAAGAATAACTTTTGAAAAAATATAAAAAAATAAAGAACGTGTTAGAAAGAACAAACTTTTCACTTAATAAAAATTACTTTTATATTAATTGAATACACAACAGTTCAATACAATTTTTATTCATTAATATACAGTAGAAACTTGCATAATCCTTCTCTTATAGGGATTGATTGTATGGAAGATTCATTAAAAAAACAATAATGCAAATTCGCCTGCACGGGTTATGCATAAGTGCTGTAAGGATGCTGCACAGTGGCGTACTGCTTCAGCAATCTAAAATAGCAACTTAGACTCTGCTCAAAGATTCTTTATACCGTGTATTCCGTTACAAATAATCATTTCAATTCAGATAGAATGATTGTAAAAGCTATACCCAAAACAAAAACTTCCCGTGACATTTATTATACATTCATTTTGGAAATTTGGCTAATTAGTTGCATAAAAAAATTTAAAGTTGTGTTTGGCTGTCTGTACGAGATCAATTTTCTGAACACAATTTTAAATCTTGAATATTATAAATATACTGTTCCGATTAATTCGAAATTCTTTAAGATTTTCAAAAGAGAATAAGTAGGAAACTTTTTTGTTTATTTCTTATCAGTAATTGATTTTATTTCTTATTCTATATAATGATTTATCGCTAATCAGAGCATACACTGTAGTCTCAAGATGAACTTCAAATTCTCGTCAATCTTGATGCTAATCCTTGCGGCAGAGTTTTCAATGACAATCGCAAATTCTCTTTCTTCTCCTCTTGAAAAAAGTAAGTGTCACTTAACTTTTATTTTTTAGTACATGTAAATTTATATTATTTTAGATTTTCTTGACATTTATGACGCGTAAAATTTTTCTAATCGATTTTATACCTATATTTTTTCAACCCATTAGGAGATTGTGAGTAAAGATTGATTTAGAATGATTAAGAGTACCATTTTTCTAATTTTAATTTAATTCATTAAACTTTTAGGCCGTGAGTATTAGTTGCTTTGTACCTTAATATAATCTAATTGACCTTATAATTTATTATTTATAATCATTAGTGGGTGAGTATAGTTTTTTTTCTTTTTATACTTTAACATCTCTAGTCGACTTTTGATAACTTAATTATTTTATTAAATTATTAGGTCGTGAGTATAAGTTTTTTTCATGCATTAACATCCCTAATCGACTAGATTACTTATTTTTTTATTTAATTCTTACCATAGCTGGTGAGTATAAATTTTTTTATCTCCATTTTCTTAATAACGTTTCTTTAATGGACTTTATACCTTTTTACTTGTAAAACTACTAGGCGGTGAGTAGAAGTTTTACTGTGTTTCGTTCTTTGAAGATGATATCTTTCTAATCGACTTTAAACTTTAGAATGTAAGCATTATTTATTTTATTTATTTTGTTATATTTTGTTATATAATTCTAATCGATCATGGAACATTTATTTTGTAAACTACTGTCTGTATCAGCTTGTGAGTATAAGTTTAATTAATATGGTTTTAAAAACCTTTTCCAACGATTCTTTAACTTATTTATTTATTAAACTATTAGGCTGTAAGTATTATAGAAGCTTTTGTATTTAATTAAAAATTATTTTTCTAACCAATTTTTTTTTAATTTAACCATTAAACTATTAGCAAGTGAGTATGGTTTTTTTGTTTTTTTTTAAAAATGAAAATTCTCCAAATGATTTTATAATCTACGTATCGATTCTATAAATTGTAGACAGTGAGTATAAGTTTTAAGGTATTCATTTTTCAACTAATTTCTTTAGTTGATTTCATGTTCTATTCTATTCTATAAAATTATAGACGGTGGGTATATAAAGTACTCATTTTTTGATTGATATCCAGTTGATTTTATGTTCCTTTCTATAAAACTATAGAAAGTGAGTAAAAGTTTCATTGCATACATTTTTCAATTGATTTTCTAGTTGATTTCATGTTCTATTCTATAAAACTATAGGCCGTAAGTACAAGTTTTAAAGCGTTTATTTATAAATCAACTATTTTCCAATTGATTTTTTAATCTTTATATTTTTTCAAACTATTAGCTCGTGAGTATAAGTTTTATTATATCAGTTATTTAAACAATTTATCATCACTTTATAACCTTTTAAATATATTTTATTAAACTATTAGTATGTACGTATAACTCAATTATACTTGTTTTAAATAAGCATTTCCGAATAATTTTTGACTTATATCAATCATTAGGCTGTAAGTATAAGTTTAATACGTTTTATCTTTTAGAAATTTTTTTAAGCGATTATAACTTAATTTTACTAATCTACTAGGCTGTGAGTATGAGTGTGATTTTATTTATTTTTAAATAATTTCTCTAATCAATTCACAATTTATTCTTTGTTAAACATTAGCCGGTAATTATAAATTTATGTTTGATTTCTTATAAAAAATTTTAACTTATTATTTTGATAAATAATTAGGACGTGAGTATATGTTTTGTTACATATACATTCCAATACTTTTTTTTCTAATTGGTTTATAATGCTATTATTCATTTAACCATAGTCAGTGAGTATAGGGTTCATTGTGTTTGCTTTCCTACAAACATTTCTTTGATTGGTTATAATTTTATTTTATATTTATCTATTAGCATGTAAGTATAGGTTTTGTTATATATATATATTAAACACTTCTAATCAATTTTATAATTTATAATTACTAGGCAGTGAGTATAAGTTTTAAATCTAGATTTTGTAAAATAGTTATTTCGTAAACATTTTCTAACTTGAGTTTGTATTTTAGAATGTAAGCATAGGTTTACTGTGTTTTTTTTTCTTTGAAAACCCTTCTCTAATTAAAAACATTCCTGATCAATTTAATTTTATAAAAATATTAGACAGTAAGCATAAGTTTCTTTATATTTGCTTTTTTTGAAAAAACTTCTCTAATCCATTTATTATTTACTAAAATATTAGCACGTGAGTATAAGTTTCCTTATATTTGATTTTTTGAAAAATTTCTCTAATCGATTTTATATTATTATTTTACCAAAATATTAGTCCGTAAGTATAAGCTTCTTCGTTGTTTTTTTTTAAAAAAAGTTACTCTAATCAATTTTATAATTATTTTCATTAAAATATTAGTCGGTAAATATAAGTTCTTTATACATGTTTTATAAAAAATTTCTTTAATCGATCTTATTATTGCTTTATTAAAATATTAGCCAGTGAGTATATGTTTTATTACATATATTTTTCATCAAAACTTCTCTAACCGATCTTATTATTGTTTTAATAAAATATTAGCCGGTGAGTATAAGTTTTATCACAGTATATCTTTCATCGAAATTTCTCTAATCGATATTATTATGGTTTTATTAAAATATTAGTCAGTGAGTATATGTTTTATTATATGTTTTTTCGTAAAAAATTTCACTAAACAATCTTATGATTGTTATTTTACTAAAATGTTAGCCGGTGAGTATATGCCTTATTTTATATTTTCATAAAAAATTTCTCTAACCAATTTTAATTATTTATATTAAATATTAGCCGGTGAGTATAAGTCGTTTTCGTAAAAAATTTTCTTAAATTTATCTTATAATTAATTATCTTATTTTAAAATATCAGCCGGTAAATATAAGTTTTATTATATGTTTTCGCAAAAATTTCTTTAATCAATATTATTATTATTTTAATAAAAAATTAGCCAGTGAGTATATGTTTTATTATATATTTTTCGTAAAAAATTTTTTAATCAACCTTATTATTGTTTTATTAAATATTAGCCGGTGAATATATGTTTTATTATATACGTTTTCGTAAAAAACTTCTTTGATTAATCTTATCATTCATTGTTTTATTAAAATATTAGCCAGTGAGTATATGTTTTATTATATACAGAATGTTTTCGTAAAAATTTCTCTAAACAATCTTATAATAATTATTTTACTAAAATATTAGCCGGTGAGTAAGCTTTATTATAGTATATCTTTTCATCAAATTTCTCTAATCGATCTTATGATGTTTGTTATTCAAATATTAGAACGTGAGTATAAATTTCTTTGTATAAGCTTTCTTAAAAAAACTTCTCTAAACAATTTTATAATTTATTTACTTATTAAACTATACTAAAGGAGGTGAATAAATTTTATTGCTATTATTTATTTTCCAAATATATTTCTCTAACTAATTTTATAATTTATTTATTTCATTAAACCAATAGGAAGTAAATAATCTTACTTTTATGATGCTTGCTTCTAAGACGTATTTCGCTAATTAATTTTGAATTTTGAATTTTGACTAGCTTGTAAAGGTATATGTTTTTTCTAAAAAAAATTCACATTTTTCTAATCAGGTTTATTATACAGTAATTTGTTTGTTCTATCAAATTATTAGGCAGTGAGTATAAGTGTAATGTTATTGTTTTTTAAACGTTTTTTAATCAAATTTATAATTTTCTTAGTATTCGGACACTGAATATAACATTTTAAATATGTTGAGTTACTTTAAATATTTAGATTCTAGATACTGAAAAATAAAATCTTGTTTAATTAAAAATACGTTTATTGGATCTCAATGTATTAAAAACTATAGCCTATAGAGGTTATGCATAAACCATTTACATTTGTATACTTTTTAGAGAAATTTTGTGCATAAAACAGAGCAGCATATAGTTATGGGACTAGAAATGTCGAAAAAATCCGAACAAATGCCAAAAAGGAGTTACAGCATTTCTAATGATTTGCGTAACCAAACCTAATTTGATGATAATTGTTATGACGAAGTTATTGAAATTTCATTTGTTTGAGATCTTCTTTGTTAAAATGCCTAACAAAAATAAAAAATAGTTAGTTTGTGGCCATGTAGTTTTAAAAATAATATAATCTTTAGAATTCTATTATAAATATTTCTTGGTTTTTCATATTTCGGCAATGTTCAACATCTCATTTATATTATTCTAAATAAATACAGTACAAAGGTCAATACCCAAACATCTATGTTTCTAATATAGTAACTATGACGAGTGAATGAATCCGATTTTACTATCTTATTTATTAGCGATAATTTCAATAGTTCTAATTATCATAACGACAAAGGTTTGGGAAAAAGAAAACAAAATTCATAGAGACAGCCGACGAAAAGATCTAATTTGGAATAATTTTAACATTAAAGTTTCAGATGGTAATGGATATTATGGTGCAAGCTGTAAATATTGTGCTAAGGCTAGATGGCAACGTGGTATACCGCAGAAATGATGTAATGATAACTCATTTGGCATTCATTGTAAAGGTTCTATATCTATTATTTAAGGCATTTATATGTTGTAATATTCCATGAATTATAATAGACAATCCTTTTTTTTAAGGACTTGTTGCAGATTTTGGAACCATATAATTCACAAAGTCATCAAACTCTATCAGAAAAAAATTTTAATAAAAAAATGACCCATATATCAGTCAAAATAAATAATCAATTACAAAATTATGAAAACTTAATCTTGATATCGAATGGATAAAATAATTTTTCAAATAATTCATTTAAATTTTATGATTACATCAGATCAAAAAAAAAACTTTATATTTTATTATTTATTTTACATTATATAAACAAACTGAACAACTTATAGCTAATGAAATCGTCAAAATTGTGGATACTGTAAACTTCCACAGTTATATTACTTGTGTTATAAATATTAGAAGCAATGTTTAATTAGCTTAAGAAATATTACACAAATTATTTACACATTTTAAATATAAGATATATTGTATATACAATTAATATAATTGTAATAGATTTATTAAAGTTTCTTGAATCAATAAAATTATTAAAAAAGCAAGTATTTTTATCAAGTTAGTAAATTATTTTAAAACAATATTAATATAATAAAAATTGATAATAGAGATTAAAATATTTATACAAATTTAATAGTATTCATTTAATAATACAAGTCAGTATTTAATAAGTTATTGAATAGTTATTTTAAAATAATTAGTAATTTAACAGTTTTTTCATAAATACAAGATATTAAAAATATTTTTATACAGATTATAAACATATTAATTCAATTATTAAATTAATTTAAAAAGTAATTTATATTGTTAAAACAAAAAAAACAAATATGACTAATTGTTAATTAATTTAGTAAGAATAGTAATTGTAATTAAAGCAATTTCAAATATCAATTCATTTCACAATTTAATAATTCAAATTTATAATAATCAATATATACAATTTTATATTGTTATAAAAAAATAAAATATGAGTTATCATGCAATTCAGTAATGTATATTATAAAAAAACTAGGAGAAATAAAAAAAATAATTGAAATAATTAAAATAATTAAAATAATGAAAAACATATACTGTATAATAAAGAAAACATTTGTGTGCTTATTATTATAAGCAAGTATACTAAATTATAAATAAACTTTATCTGTGTTATGGAAGTTGTAATGGCAAGTCTGTCACTATGTTGTAATTACTAATTATATAATGTTGAATAGAAGTATAGAGATGTAACATAAGATAAGTGAGAATATTAGATAATAATTTAAATTATAGTTTCTAAAGAACAGTTTTTATTGTCATTTGTTTTTCTAGTATATTTCTTTCTTTTATACATGTTGGAAAAATCTCAAAAATTCTTCAAGCCCCAATTAAACCCTAATTAAACAAGTATAAAATATATCAAATCTATTTAATTTTTCAACTTCTCTTACATTACAATTTTTTTTATAATATAAAATTAAATACTATTATAATATAATTTTTATTGATTTTTCAAATAAATTTGTTTAAAAATACTTTAGAAATTTATTTTTAAATATAATAATTATTAAAAAAAAATAGTAAAAAAATAGTAAAAAAATATTCAAAGGTATTTATTTTTGAGCAAAATAATTTGATAATCTCTTTCTTATAATATTTGATGTTTTTGAATTTTGATTTATAAAGAACAATTCCATTTCAATTCAAAAAAAAATCTTTTCCAATATTGATTATTCTATAAAAATAAGTATAAAATTTCAAGTAATCAGTATTTTAAATAAGAAAATAGTTATATTTTGATTAGCAGCTATAAATATTTCTTAAATATCTTTGACTCTTATTGAAATAATAAAAATTAAATAGTAATACTTAATTGCTAGTAATAATAAAAAATAATTTCTAATGGATTTAATAAGCTAAATAAAGTTTTGTTTATCAATAATATATTATTATTTGTTTCTATTTTTTCTTTTCTTATATTATATAAAAATCTAAATAAAATTTAATTTATATCTAATCAAATAAATAAAAATATACTAATTATACTTAAACATATTAGTTTTTTAATTAAAATACAATAAGCTATATAAAATAAATTATTAGAAAATCTATAAAATAGTTTTACTATAAAATTTAAATAGACTTTATATTGTTATTATTATTTCTAATAAGTCTGTTGCTATTCCAAGACTAGTACTTACATAATAATAAAGTTCTGGCAAGCTCTTCTTTCTCTTGAGGCATGTATCAATTTGATCAAGTGCTTTCATAAACTTGTTTCTCTTCTATTACTAATTCAGTATTTGATTCATACTGTGCTTTCCTTTTTTGACCTCCTTGAATCTTTTGCAAAACACTAGTAAATTTTTATAAAAGGCAAATGACAAGTGCAAATAATAGTTTATTACTCTATTAAGCAATAATTGTAAATTATAAGAATAAAAGTTATTATTATTACTGGGCTATTCTACTTTTATTTATACTACTGGTAATACATACAATTATTCATTATTGTATTATGCAAATTACCTTAAACTTAATAAGCTTTAGTATTAATTATGGATGCATAACAAATACATCCAATTACTGCATCACACAACTCAACTGTTTTTTTCACAATAATATATAGAAAAAATAAATGACAAAAATTATTTTATAATTTAAAATTATATGTAATATCTAATAAAAAAAACTTTTTCTATTAATTTTTTTGCCAATTCAAAAAACAAATATTTTAAAAATATTTTATTTTTTCAATAATTTTTTTTTTATAATTCTGCAATCAAGTTAATGTTATTTATTTATTAAATCACAGAGAACCATTACATGCACAAGAATACATACAAAGGTACAAATTTTCTCAACCCAACTCACTTATTGACAGCCAAAACCTCTAGATGCGATTTATAGGATAATATATTGTTTTTCTAAAGGATGGGATTAAAATCCTGAGCTTCCGATAGGATCAAAACCTGCAAATTACCTCCATAGTCATGACTATAAATCCAAATTGTGTCACTCCTCTCTTGTAGAAACTATACAAGAGGAAAAAGGAATAAAAAAAGAAATTTTTTGACAAAAAAAAAAAGAAAAAAAGCTATCATCTATTCTAACTATTATTGAAAAGGTTATCTCAGTAAACTTAAAATCCAAGCCCCTCATAGTTTCCCACTTCTCATCACTTGTGGCCAGTCAAACTGTTTAATTTTTATTGAAGTAGTCAATGTCCAAAAATGTTTAAGAGCACTTCCAAGAGAGTATTTCTTAAAACTTTATGCTTGAAGACTTTTAATCAGAAAGTATGTTAATTTTCTATTGTTGATTTCTCTTCCAAGCTATATCTTCTGGAATTATTGCATTACTTAACTGATGGATAGTTTCAAGATTCCTTTCTTCAATCATTTTCAGGATAAATATTAGTACTTCAACTTGTTACCAGATTGGAATAGGACCTAGACCTTATTGCTACTTCCTGTCCTTAAGAAAGAATAGGGAAGAAAAAAAGAAAATAAAAGAATGGAAACAAAAAAGGATTGCTCTTCTTCTATTCACAACTTCTACTTCACCTAATACTCCCATACTACTCCTTCAACCAAAAACCATCCAATTCTTTTAGGAACCAATTATATTATCAATTAGATATTACACGACTAAAAACATGTGAGAAGTACATGTCTTGTTTACTTTTTCTGAAGCTGACATAATCAACCAATCCATGGCCTTGACCAATCATCTTTTAGGAGATCTGGTATAATCAAAAATTTAGGGTCAAACTAAGGTAGGCAAAATTTCCCAGAAAACTAAAAAAAAGAAAATACGCTTGAGAAAAAAGAAGAGAAAAACCAAAGAGATGATGAAAAAACTGAAGACTTCTTTGTTCTTGTTTCTCTAGATTCTTGAATTTTTTGGAAATTTTTGGAGAGTATTTTTTCTTGTCAGTTTTCTTTCTAGAAAGGTGTTCTTGCCATAGATCTTTTAAGTAGGTTTCTTGTATTTAGTCATCAAAATAAACAAGAAAAGTGTTTTAAAAAGGAAAATAAAACAAGTGATAGCTTCTGCTCACACTGCTAATTAAGAAACCAATATTATTAAGGAAGGTGTATAGACTTTATTATCATAAAGACAAAAAATCTTTTGAGAATGTCTATTTTTTGGGTTGGCAAAAGAATCAGTAGAAAGAGTTTTTTTTAAATATAATTTTTTTTTTATTTTTCAATAATAGAATCTAAATATTTTTTTTAATATAACAATATATATTTCTGAAAACAAAAGCCTTTATTACTTGTTTATTTTTCTTTTTCTAAAACTCTTTGTATATTTTAATAACAAAATATTCAAAAACTTATTCATTTAATTTATAATAAGAACATCTTATTAGAAAGAAAAAACTTGTCAAAAAATACTCTTATTTATTTTTTTTAACATTTGAAATTCTAGAAAAGTTTATTAATAAATATTGTTAAGGTGTAATAGCAAGTTGATTACTAAGAAAAATAAGATTTTGTATACTTATAAATAAGATAAATAATATTTAAGGTAAGTAATACTTAAAGAGAAAAAGATATGTTTTAATTTGATTGAAATTTTTATGTTATAACAGATATTCTTCTTCTTTATTAATGCTTGTTTCTTTCTTTTTATATATTTATTTTTATTTACAGAAGTTAATATGATTATATTTTAATAATAATAAATAAGTCAAGTCTCTATTATATAAGTTTCTTATTGTAATTACTTCTTTCTTTTTTCTATATTAAATAATTATGCTATTATATATTATTTCTATCTCAGAAGAAAGATAAAGATAAATAATTAGTAGCAAAAAGACATTCTGTTTGAAAAACCCAATATGGTATGCTAAAGTTTTTAAGATGTACCAAAATTATTACAGTTCTGAGATACAGTATATAATATTAAAAAAAAAGAGACAATAGTGATTTGTTTTTGTAAAAATCAATTTTTTATTCAATAAAATAAAAGTTTAATTC